ATTTAGACACTTTAAAAATGAGGTATAGCCTTTGTAATCTAGAGATTACATTAGACACTTTAAAAATGAGGTATAGCCCAAATATATGTATATATATACATATATATATACATATATTCTTTGAAGCAAAAACTTTCTATATTTTCAGAGTTTTAAAGTTGGCTTAAATAATCATGTGCTGCTGATTTTAAAAAAACATGATATATGTATATAGAGCTATAATAGAATCATGTTGATCATGTCCATGCATGCGAACTTTCAAATATCAATAAATAATGCAAACAAAAAATAAAAAACTATTATTATATCAAATTAAAGTCTATACTATAATTATTGTTTGACATTATTTGATATAAAAATATGTTTGATATGTATGTATTCCATATATGTATGTATATAATTCTAAATTTATACAAAAATTAAAAAATGCCGTATTTTCACAAAAAATTTTGCATAGATTTTTTATCACTTTTGGATACGGTTATTGAGTCTTCTTTCAAACAAAAATATGAACCCTATATATTTTTGAATAGCCTAGATAATGTAGAGTTTAGAAATAATAAAAGAATAAAACTATCAAAATCGACTTCTTTTTTATTTCAGCAACATTTTTTGATTTTTCCAGACCATTGTGCATAAGCACAGTGTAAATAAATTGTCTGGTTTTTGTTTGAGTCTTGCCTGAAAGTCCAAATTTTTTTCAATTTTATTAATCATGATATTCTGAATTCTAATTGAATAATTTAGACTAAATTATTTAGAAAAACACTATAAGTCAATAATATAGAGTGAGTTCACTAATATATTTTCCCATACTTATTCAATGTATTGTAAAAAAATAAATTAGAATGTTTGGTAATACAATGCTGAAAAGAAACAAAATGAACATATGTTTATCAAAAGAACCTTGTTAAAGGTTCTTTTGATAAACATATGTTATCAAAAGAACCTTTTGATAAACATAAGAGCATCATAACTTCGCAGTGGCTTGAAATGCTCAAAATAGCAAATCAATGTTGTTGTTTTTTCTCCTACAGTTTAATTTACAAAAACTAAAACTTTTCAAGCAAAAAATATCTGCTGAGTCTCATCTGCTGCACAGACCCATTATTTTTTTTTAATTCTATTAGCATTTTTTTTTTTTTATCACTTTTAGGGAATGCTCCAGTGCCTCAAGGTCTTACTATAGTTTTTTGTATTAAATGCTTATAAATTACAGAAAAAACGTATCAAATATGTAATGCAACAAAAGCGCAGACTCAAAAAAAAAATTTTTAATGCGATCAATGAATTATAAGAAAAACGTTTAATTAGTGATAAAGCCACAGCAACTTTAAATAGTCTTAATCCTGGTGTTAAAGATTTAATTCGAAGAAAACTGAAATCCAAAAGCAAATTAAAATACTCTCCATCATTGCGAACTTTTGCATTAACATTGTATTTTTATTCAGCAATATGAATATTTATATGTGATTATGTCAGACAGTCCATAGGCACTTGTCTTTCTCACCTAGACACTTTGAGAAAATGATATAGCAGTATTAATGGACAGTTTCCTCATGAAGCATTATAAATTTTAAAATTGAAAAACAATAAATTTAACAAAAAAATTTTATGTAGTTTGATGATAGACAAAATGTCAATTCAAAAGCAAGTTGATTGGGATGGGCATAAATCTTATGACTCTGTTAATTATGGAACAGGATTTGATGATGACAGAATTGGTGTTGCTAAAGAAGCTTTTGTTTTGTTGTTAGTTGCTGATAATGGATATTGGAAGATCTCAATAGCATATTTTTTACTAGATGGACTTAATTTAAGAGAGAAAGCAAACATTATTTCTGAATGTCTCATCAAAGTTCATGAAACTAAACTTTTGATGGTACAGCTGCAAATTTTATTATGATGAAAACTCTTGGTGCTGACTTTAGTGATATAAGATATCTGAAACAAACTTTCAACATCCAGTAAGTGCAGAACCAGTATTAATATTTCTTGATGCTTGCCAAATGTTAAAATAAGTTAAAAATTACTTTGGTGAAAAGAAATTGCTAAAAGACAGAAACATTGGTAATATTAATTATGCTTTCATTGAACAATTGTACGAGCTTCAATCAAAAGAAGGAATTTATGCTGCTAATAAACTGAAAAAACACCATGTATATTGAAAACAACAAAAAATGAAAGTGAAATTGGCACCACAAACCTTAAAAAAAAGTCAAAGTGTTGCAGATGCTCTTGATTTTTGTGCAATTAAGTGAAAATTTAAAGAGTTTCAAGATTGTGGACCAACTATCAATTTTATTTAGCTTATAGACAAAAGTTTTGATTTACTAAACAGTCGGAATTTTATTGACAAATACTAAAAAGCTCCTATCTCTTTAAGGAATTTAGAACACTGTACAAATATTTTCAATATGGTATGCCAGTACTTGTCCAGTTTGACAGACAGTGCTGATAACTTATAAAACAAACAAAAAAACTGGCTTCATTGGATTTATTTTTACCCTTCAATCAGTAATTCAACTTAGCCAATATTTGATTTTATCTCCAGAGAGCCAATTTAAATTCTTGTTGACATAAAAAATTGAGTTAATATCAACCTAATATGTCAGAAGTCAATGTGGTTTTAATAATAATTTATCAGCAAAACAATTTATGACAACACACCGGCGTTTGTTAGTACATCACTCATTACAAAAATATAAAAACTGGTAACTCTTTAGCTCAGAATGCTACATAAATACTTTCTGCAACAAAAGGAATTGTGAATCATCAGTAATGTAAATTTAATGACGATGATTTAACTTTACTCATATCTAATGAGGATATTACACCAGCAAGTATAATGGAACAATCACAACTGTCTGAATGCTCTGAAGAAGCGATGAAGTATATAGGTGGATTTGTTAGTAGAAAACGAAAAAAAACTATTTTATGTAAGGCCTGTACTCATCTCTAACTGATGACAATTCATTAAGTTTACTTGTTAATAAAAAAAAACAGAGGTGGTCTTCTTCATCCATCAAAAAATGTTATTGTAATTTGTTCTTTTGTTAAAAAGTTTATAAGACATAGCATTTCAGACAAATCAAAAATCAAAGAACTACAACTTGTTATGAAACCTATTTCATATTTAAAATTAACTATCCCCCGTCAACGATATATATATATATATATATATATATATATATATATATATATATATATATATATATATATATATATATATATATATATATATATATATATATATATATATATATATATATATACACACACACATATTTTATATACATATATAGTTTGTTTTTTTTTAAGAAAAACACTGGAAAAAAAAACCATGATCCAACACATTAAGTACTTTGTCAATATACAATATTTTTAACATGTATTTTATACATAGATATAAGTATATATTATAATAAATATAATATTCATAGATATAAATGTATAAAAAAAGATTAGTTAGTCTTCTGAAAACACCGTTTTTTTTGAAACCAAATCAATATTCACAAAGTATAACTTTAAAATTCACACTGTATATTTCATTTGATAGTACAACTTCACTTTAAATAACTGTTTATTATCAAATCCTCAGGTATCTTTTATTTCAGAGGTTTAGAGAGAAAAAAATTACATGCATAACTTCTTGAAGTTTTGAAATTTGAAGACCTTGGCGCAAATACAATCTAATTCTTTTTGGTGTTGTGATTTAACCTGAGATATAAGGTTGAGCAAAGCCTCTTTATGCATTTTATATCAGTCATTTGTTCAATATATATATGAAAAAATAATATTTTAAAAAACAAATTGTAAACTTGTGGTTAATTAAAAATCTTGGTGCAAAAAAAAAAAAAAAAAACACTATTTTTAATAGAATAAAAAATAGATTACCTTTGAATGTAAGGAATAGGTATCATTTAGTCAAATTCAGTAAAAAAAAATTAAATGGCATAAGGAGTGCTCTAATCTAAATTATTTTGCATTAACTGTTACAGCATCTTATAATTAGTAATATTCCGTTCAAATCTAAAAATCTACCATATGTGGAGTTACATTGCTTTTGCACCGAGGTCTTTAATTGTTAAGGAATGGAAATCAAGTGTGTTATGTTTTAATAAAAATAAATTTGGAATTTATTCACATTTTAGAACATTTCTGACCACTATGAGCTTGTTACATCTATTTGCTTTTTAATTTGCTCTTCTCTTTGACAACTATAACTTATAAACAAACTATAAAACAAAAGTTTATCACGACATACTCATAACATAAGTTGCTAAAGAAGTTTGTTAACTTTTTTTTATTGTAATAATAGAGCTTAATGATCAATGAAAACTTCTAATTTTGAATAACATGTTTCACTTAATATGGTATTATCCAGTGTTTTTAAGATTTTTAAGCTCTGCTATTCTTGTTAAAAACACTCAATATAATCTTGTGAAACATGATATTCAAAATTATGATGAAACATTGCTAATGCAATGTTTCATTCATAATTCTTGGCCTTGACATTCACAATGTCAAGGCCAAGATCAAGGATGCTATGCAAATAAGGGCTATATACAACAATGCCATAACAACACACTACAAGTGTAACCCAACATGTACCAAAGTCAATGTTATAAATGACATAGACAAAAATAAATTAAATTTATCTATAAAAAATAAAAAGTATAAATAAAAACCAATTTTAATAATGTCAATAAGATAATGTTTTATAAGTCATTGAAATTTTTTTTTGCTTTATTTAATAATAGCTTTAATATAATATATTTAGTGACATGTGTATATGTTATGCATACTTTTTGGTGTGCATATGAATATTTGATGTACCGAATACATACAATAATAATGAAATTTTGCAATATATTCAAATTCTTCTTCACAAAACTAAGAATACAGTATATTTTTAGATTTCAATAATAATTCCACTAAACTAAATTGTGGATATGTTTAAGAATATTTAGTAAATTGCAACTAATGATAATACTTAATAAAATTCATATCGTTGTTATTCAAAATTAAAATGTGTTACACATTACAATAATTCCAACCGTTTACAAATTGGTAGTGTTTCGTGTAATGGCAACATTAAAGCAAACTCCAACAAAATCAAAACTTGTACTTCACATGCCAATAGATCTCTTGCATTTAATCGAAACTGCTCAGCAATATTCTTGTGTAAAAAAAAAAAAAAAAAAAAAATCATTAAAAAATTTATAATAACAACAATAACCTACTTGTTTAGTATTACAAATCAATTAATTGTAATAAAATAATAAAACTTAGAACAAAGGAAAGTTTTTATTTTTTGCTTTTATGTTTGATTTTGTTCAGTTTAATTTAGGATTTTATTTCTTCTAACACATTTGTTTATTTATAAAAAAGCAGTTAGTAGAACATGCTTTTGAGTAAAGCTGAGAGTACAACTTAGTAATGCTTTTATTACCATCTTTACACTTTAATAAGCTTAAACAGTTTATTAACTTTATACTAAAAAAATGTTATTTGTTGCAAAAATTTTAGAAAAGGAATTATGAGGTTCACATTAATATGTATTTTCCATGAAGTTTTAAAGGCTATTTCCTCTATTTTTGCATCATGAATATCATTTTGCAAAGATTTAAAATGTCTGCAAAGTATTTGATAATTGTTTCATATTCTGGGTTTAAATGTTTTCCAAAAGCTGTATCTTTTACTGATTTAAAAGCTTGCAAAAAATTTGTTACAGATAATATCAGATGCTGGTGTACTTGGAATTTCCTTTATAACAGCTTGTTCAAGAAGATCTATTTTTTTAGTTATTTTGTTATAGTTATTCCGTCCCATTCAACTCCATGGTAGCCTTGAAAAATAATATGATATAAAGATAGCCAAGTTTTAAATCCAGGATCATATATAATTAGCAATACTTTGCTTTAAACTTCAACTGTACCCATCATTAAATGCAGTTCTGGTGGAGCTATCTTATGAATAATTAATGTATCAGGATACTCATCCAAATAAATTAACCTTTTATTAATAACATTCATATAATTTGACATTTTTTGTTGTTGGACATCCATCATCATTATATTTCTGAGACCAGTAATCAAGACCAAACGTTCAAAGATCACCAGAGGTTAAAAAACATAATACTGTACAATACAAACACGCATATTTTCCAGAGTGTGAAGACAAATCCAGTACAGCATTTGCACATTTTAAGTCAAAAGCCATATAAAATTTAACTTCTTCCAGCTTAAGTTTTGACATAACTAATCCTAAATTCCAGTTAGATTGAGGAACGTCTTTAACTATAGCCAGCATTTCCACTGGCAGGGTTTAAACATAAGAGAGTGTCAAAAATTCTTATATAAATTAATTTCAGCACATTAATTTAAAACAAGATTTAAAAAAAAAAATTATATATATATATATATATATAAATATATATATATATATATATATATATATATATATATATATATATATATATATATATATATATATATATATATATATATATATATATATATATATATATATATATATATATATATACATATATTCAGATAGTGCTGATTGTACAAAATCTACTATGTTGACACCACGCCTGACTACTAATTCCTCATGTATCTATAACAATAAAAAAAAATTTGATTCAACATCAAATACAAGTTCATATGTGAACATTGTGACGATGAACATTGTGAGTAACGAATTATGCAAAATAAAATTGATTTACAATTGTCATTGAAATATTATACTTATATCATTAAAAATGCTCAGAATTAAACTTTTTTATAATAATTAAATTTTTATAATTACGTTGATACCTTTGATACTTTTAATAACATAGAACTTCTTGCAGTTTTTTTTTTTTTCTGCGTCAAGTAGATAATGGTTTCTTTGACAACTAGTGCAAATCATAGTAGAATATGCTTCTAGGTTTGGATCATATTTATAATTAATTAAAGTATTTATTTTTTGAAGGATTTGTTTAATTTTTCACCGCATTTACTAACTTTAAAAAAATTTAAAATAGATAAAAAACTGAATTTATTTTTCACAAATAACATAAGATAGCATGTGATTTTGATTTCAAACTTGATTGTTTACTAATAGTATATAGTATTTGTAACCATATATTAATGAAAATTTTAAATTGACACAAAGTGCAACCTGGTGGTCAAATTTCAGAGCAGTAGAGAACAAGTTATGCAAATCAGTATTAGAAGGAACAAATATAAGATATTAAGATAAAAATAAGTTCACGTAAAACTAATGAAGAGGTAGAGATAGAAATGGAGTTTGCAATACAACAAACGCTTATTAGATCCCAAAAAGAAATCAAAATAAATGCAAAAATAAAGAATGAGCAATTCTTGAAAATTTACAGCACAAAATGTCTTAAAATTAAATTCATTTGTTTATTAATAGTGGGTTTTACCTACTCTATTAAAACTCAAAGAAAGTACATAGAGTGGAAAAAACCCACTATTAATAAACAAATAAACCATGTAAAAATGACAATATCAATCTAGTTCCTTTTAACACTACCGGTTCTTTTATCTTTTATCTTTTTTAAAACATTTGTTACATTTTTTAATTGCATTATTGTATTTTTTATTATAAGGTCTCTATTAGTTCAACTTAATTTTAACAATTTGATTTAAGCATTTTAATATATTTTAACTGATGATGGCTATGATATAATTGAAACATGTATTATAAAATGAATGATTTTAACAAAAATTAAAAAAGTTGTCTTATTTATTAGAATCTATATATATATATATATATATATATATATATATATATATATATATATATATATATATATATATATATATATATATATATATATATATATATATATAGTTGCAAGTTTTAAAAAGATATTATATATATATATATATATATATATATATATATATATATATATATATATATATATATATATATATATATATATATATATATATATATATATATATATAGTTGCAAGTTTTAAAAAGATATTACTAAACAAAAAATATTACTTGTTGCAAAGAAAAAAAACTCAAGTTAATTACTTTACCAACACTTTTCTTGTGACAAACAAAGATTTAAGTTTGTTTTAAATCTTTGTCACAAAAAAAATTACCATCTATAAACAAGTACTATTTATAAACAAATTTATACCATTGTTGCTTTCACTTGCCTTGGGGCAAAAAAGTTACACATATGCTTTATGAATATATTTGATGCTGTAAAAAATAAAAAAGGAAGAAGAAAAATTAAGAAAAAAAACCTCTTTTTTTTTTTTAAATTTAAATTCGAGTCAAGCACAAGTTAGAATGTACTATGATTGATGGAAAAGTTTCCACTCTTCTTTCTCCATCAAAAAAATTTCTGTTTTCACTTTTTTGATTTCACATATTTTGTTAATAATATAAAGCTGGTGTAACTTTTATAAAAAAATTAGTTTTCTAAACGACTTTTTTTATTGTTTTTTTTTATTTTTCTGTTATTCACCTCCTTAAGGTCTAAAAGATCTTGAAGGTCAAGAAGGCCACTACAGATGAGGAGGCTACTTAGTAGTGGTTATAACCCTCTCTTAACTTTATAACTCTGAAACGCGAACCTTGACAAACAAGGCCGTTGTGCTGGGAAACTTGTTGAGCGTGGTACTAAAAGGGATGTGGTGGGGATCGAACTCGGAACCTCTTGCTTATGAAGCAAGCATTCTACCACTACATCACTGTTTTTAATGAGATAAAAAGTGAAATGGCTTACCCTGTGTGTAAATGAGGTATGTAACCGTATAAAGAAAAAAACTTTTATTTATCATCTTGGAAGAATATTTATTTACGCTTTAAAACAAGACCTGATATATAAATATATATATATATATATATATATATATATATATATATATATATATATATATATATATATATATATTTATATATATATATATATATATATATATATATATATATATATATATATATATATATATATATATATATATATATATATATATATATATATATATATATATATATATATATAAATTCAAATGATCGATAAACCAACTCAATATTTTTATTTAACAGTTTTATCACTAGAGATACCTCAATATGATGCTTTATATCTTTTGACTGTACTTCAGCTTGAAACTTTAAAGCAAGTAGTAAACATGAACCTTAACAGATTTAACCAAAAACTTATAAAATACTAAATATTAAATACTAAACTTTCTAACTTTAAAGTTATATACAATAACTTTAAGTTATATTATAAGCAAGATTTTGCAACTTATTTGACACTCTTATTCAAAAGAATCGAAAGAAATTTTTAAAAAACTAAAGTCTCGTAAATATTATTATTTACCCAAAATTTTACTTTGTAACTACTTAAAATCATTCAAAAAAAAAAAAAATGAAACAATACCTGCAATGTACTTTCTATTATGCTTGGTAACTCTAGACTAGAAAGAACAAATTATTTTTAACAATGCTGCAAATGAAATCAATATTACTTCATACAACCATGAATTCAAACTTACCTTCAAAATAACTTTTTCAAAGTACACAAAAGAATAAGCTATTACAGACAGTTCTAAATTGCACTAAAAAAAGCAAAAAAAAAACAATTTAAAAAAAAAAACAAGTTAAAAAGACTATATACATACATTCATAATATGATTTATATGCTTTTTATATATTTAATAACATAAGAATCGTGGTAATATTTATACAGAAATTGATATTGATATTGAAAAAAATAGTTTAAAACTGATTATATGATATAATATATATATTATATATACCATTGCATTTAAATGTAATTTCTGCAATATAAGTTGTTGAATAGTGTATAAAATGTATTAAATAATACTTTACTGTTAAATAACGAAAACATTTTAATAAGTAGCTGCAGTCGCTTTTAAAACGAGGAAATTGTTTATGACATTTTAATTACTTGAAAAATGCAATAAGTAATTTTTAAGCAATTTAAAATAAAATTGTAAATTTTATTTTAAATATATTTTAACACTGCAAAGTTTATAATTATCGGTGCATACAAATACCAATGCATTGCAAGAAAAAAAAAAGGGGAAAGGTCAATTATGCCTAAAGGGTGAAAATTTCTCAAGAAATACACAAAAAAACGAATCTACACCCTATATCACCAAAATTTTTGAAACTTGGCACAAATGTTTATAGACATATGTTAGGAAAGATTGTAACTTTTTTTCATAAAATTCCTTACTGTTTTACTTAGCATCGGAATTTTGTTTTAAAATTATGTATGCATTATATGCATTTTTTTTGGGTGTATTTTATGACATTTTTGTTTAGGTTTCAGTGTTTGTTTATTAAATTATAAATAAATTTTTGAGTTATGAAATTTGATGATATTTTTTTTTTTTTTTTTAAATTATATATATATATATATATATAAATATATATACATATATATATTTATATATATATATATATATATATATATATATATATATATATATATATATATATATTTAATACATTGTTTCCAGTTTAGGATGTTGAGCGCTGGATCTTCTTGACCCCATTCATGAGTTTTGCTTTTGTTTCTGTTTTTATGACTAGGCAACTCATTCTATTATCTCCAAATAAGGGTACAGATCTAAGACTCAGTTTTATGGTTCTGAGGCCGTCAGGATTCCCGAACTCTGTGGTAGCTCTCAGAGAGGCTGAATCCATCAACAGCTGAAAAATATCAGAGTACTAATAGTGCCATGTTGCGCATGGATGGTGTCCCTGTTTGAACTTTTGGTGTGCATTGCCAAGGCCACATTGGAGCCCTTTGTTACGGCTTAGGGTTTATTAGTGGAAATGAGACGATTGCTTGGGCTATAAGACAGTGTACTGAGTGCTATCTATGTTTCGAGTAAAGTTCTTTAACAAATTTAAAAATGAATAAAGTAACAAAAACTATGAAACACAAAAAACCACAGTTATCACCAAGTTCGCTAAACCGCTTAGTTCGCTTAGTGTTGATGGTCATCTCCCTTTAATTCGTAAAGACTCCAATAGTCACATGCTAGGCCTGGGCATTTACATTCGCAAGAACTCACCCATTTGTCTGGAAACTAGGTTTGAATCCACAGACTACTCTTTTATGTGCTTTCATTTAGCACCACTTCACTCTATCACCTTTCTCTTTGTTATATATCACTCTCCTTCATCTCAAGACTACACCCTTCTTGATGTTATTTCTGATCATATTGAACAAGCCCTCTCTCTTAATCCATCAGCCAATATTGTTGTTGTTGGTGACTTTAATGTTCATCACACTGAAACTCAGTTTCTTCACACTCACCCTTAGGTGCTTCTGATCATGGTTTGGTCTCTCTAAAACTATTATCTCATTCTTCTTTACCATCAGAATTTCCCTATCATCGTACATCTTACAACTACCTTAAAGCTGACTGGGACTCTTTCCGTGATTTTCTTCGTGATAGCCCCTGGGTAGAAATCTTTTGTATCCCTGTTGACAAATGTGCTTCTTACATAACTTCGTGGATTCAGGCTGGCATGGAATCCTTCATTCCCTCTCAACGATTCCAGGTCAAGCCTTACTCTTTTTCATGGTTTTCCTCACATTGTGCTGCTGCAATTGCCAATCGAAACCATTACTCCCATATCTATCAGCAAAACAATTCTCCAGAAAACAGACGTCTGTTTATTACTGCTAGGAACCATTGTAAAATGGTTTTGTCTGATGCCAAAGCCCGCTATTCTCAGATCATGAAATCTCGTATTTCATCACAAAAATTAGGCTCTCGTGACTTCTGGAGAATCTTCAATAGTATCAATAATAAGGGCAAGTCTGTAATTCCACCTCTTTTGCATGGTTCAGACTTTGTCACCTCACCTAAAGACAAAGCTGAATTGTTTGCCAAGAACTTTTCATCAATATCATCTTTTGATACTACTAGTTGCGTTCTACCTGATATAGCCGTCAAACAGGTTGATCGACATTCGTATCACTCCAGCTTCTGTATCTAAAGTGATTTCCTGCTTAGACTCTTCTACAGCTTGCGGCCCGGACAACATACCTGTTATAGTCTTGCAGAAGTGTTCTCCGACTATTTAACAAGTGCTTATCAGAGTCTTGTTTTCCAGCCTACTGGAAAGCAGCATCTGTTATCCCTATTTTTAAAAATTGATTGATCCGTTTTGTCTAACTACCGTCCCATTAGTCTTCTTCCTATCATAAGCAAGGTTTTTGAATCTTTAATTAACAAACGCATAATCACTAATCTCGAATCTTATTTTTTTGAGCCCATGTAAACAGATCTTGTGGTGTGAGAATCTGATTTGTAATTGTTGCTCGTAGACTAGCTTTTGCTGCTTCGCTTTTCATAGTACCTCCTATTCTATCACATGGACTTTTTTCATGTGAGGTAGCAAAAGAAGTGATGCTCAGCATTTATTTGGTGATCTACAATGTGATAAATTAAGTTTATTAGACATTTGTAGTTTTTATACTGTGACGCAGCACCATCACTGAAGTGTTCAACTTTATTCACTGTGGGTAGTTTGATTTTGACCATAGGGAGCAACTTTGTGAGAAAACAATGGACTGCTGATTGGTCATGGCAAAGATGGTCAGAAATTAAACAATAGCATTCACATTTAAGGTGATCTTTTTCATCTTTGTAATAAATAACAAATGGGTGTAAAGGTAGCTTGATCGGCTTGCCAGTAAAACCTTTGTATAGCATCTTGTACAAGAAAACTATAGTTTTCTGCAAAATCCATCAGAAAAATGCAGGTATATTGGTCTAATGTTTGTTTTGCCTCTGATAAGTAGGAAGGCTGTGCTTCTTTGATAAAGTGGTGGTGACAAAGGTCATACAAAGTAATAAGTGCAGTTCGGTCAGTTGATACCCATTGTTTATATGTGATCTGATAATCAAAATCAAAATCAAACACATTTTCCAAGTAAGTCTTCAAATTTATTTTACCAGGGCATTTGGAACATAGATGAAACATAGATGCAGTTTCGACTATCTATATTACAAACACATACTTTCATTAAATCTTTGTAATATATTAAATGGCTGTTAGGAAGAGCAGAGCACATCAACTTAGCATTTTGATGGTAAGAACATACACAAACTGAGTGGCTTCCACTACTATCAACAGTAAGGCACCACTTTGGCCTTAGTTTACAGAACTTGCTGAATCCAACTCTGTGTTCAGGGTATAACTTCTTAAAATCCAGATGAAGTTCTTTTAAACAAACTAATATTAAGCATTTTTGTTTATGAACTTTAACATTACTTATACGCACAGAAACAAAGTCTTTTTTACCTGGACATTGTCTAGTGTATTCGTCAGACTCATATATTTCAATGACTCTCTGCTTAACAATATCCTCAAAAGGATGTCCTTTTTTAGCCTCAGGTTTAGCAAGTATTCTCTTTTCATTTTTTAGCTTTCTGGCTTTCTTAACAAGATGGTCTGAAACTGAAAATGCATTGCCAGTTGTTTTAATTGACCAACTATCAGGAGTTAATGTTAGTAATTAAACTTTTTCTTCATTCAAACTGATTTTCACTTTTTTCCTTTATTGCATCTAAAAGTTTGTCTAAATCATTACAGTTAATGCACTTTTGCTTTTTTTTCAGATATTATTTCTTTTGGGTCTATATCCAATGCTGATGCTACTAGGTTTGTCATACTTGTTTCCAGTTTTTTAATTTTTTGCTTTCCATATTCTAATTTGTCACGTTTACTTACATTTTTTAGAGGAGATATTTCCAGTAGAGAAGCACTCTCATTTAAAACTGTCTTATTTAGGTCTGAAGAACTAAACTCCACTTCATCAACATCTTTGTCTTCATCTTCTTGACTAAATTTTCCTGTAATTTGTTCAAGTTTGAATTCATTCATACAGTTAGTGCAAACAACATTTCTCAGTCATTTTTTACAATTTTTTTATTTTTATTACTAATCTAAAAAGTTTAAAAAAGACATAAACATATTAAATCTTAAAGAAACTAACAAATATCAGACACTGATTATGACACTGATTATGTCATTATTATTAGTACAAATTAAGACATTATGTCATTAAAAAGAAAACTGAATATATTCATTCACAGATAAAAAAATATATATACTACTGTAATCCCTTTGACTAATTATTAGATAACATTCTCCTTCTGAAAATATCATCACTCTCAAAAGGCTACAATAATGTCATAAGATAGAGTATAGGTCTTTAATTTTTTTTAGTGATTGTCTATATATAGAACCTCAACATTAAAAAGTTTCATAATTTGTTTCATAAAAAGTTTCATAATCTGTTTACGCTACTTTCTATGCCAGCAAAGTCAATGTAATTTATCATAATTTTTACAAAATGTGATTTTTCAATAGGCTGCTGCATGTGCTTAATTAAATTTTAATGCTTAATTTTGATTATTCTAACAAGTGGTGACCCTAAGTACAAAAAGGTAACAAAAAAATCCACTTTCTGTAATTAAGAATGAAACTGTAACACGTTAAAGTTCAAAAAAATATTTATGTTGCAATATTTAGCAACTCTAAGGTACATTAACTCAAAAACTGTAAAAAATCAGTCAAAAATAACTGCTATAATGGATTATTTGGGTGAAAAACTATTATCCTACAAAATTTCAGGTGATCACCATCTTTATTTTAAAAGTTATGGTTTGTCAAAAATCGAAAAAAACTGCTGTAAGCTGATACACAAATTTTTCGGATTTCGGTCATTTTTAATTCAATCATAACTTTTTAACAAATTGGTCAATCAAGCTGAAATTTTCTTCATTGTATTTTTTTCATAAGATTTTTTCAGTGAAAAGCATTGTCAAAACATTACGCATTGAGGGAGGGGGCAGCATTTTCTTTTAAATGCATCATGTTAGATCTGATTCAGGTTAAAAAGCAAATAAAAGCAGCTAAAATGTTTTGAGATCTTTTCTATACAGATCATTCTTTCATAAGCAAAAAATTTCATGATGAGCAAGATTAGGCAAATGTTTTCCTGGTAGATCAAATTTTTAACTAATTTAATTTATAATTTAATTTAAAAAAATTTAATTTAAAAAAAATTGATTAAACATTCGGTAAAAAAAAGTTTTTGTAAATTTTTTTACTTTTTAAATTTGTGGATGGGTTTTAGCTGTTAAAATAAATATTTTCTTGAATTTTTGAACTTCAAACCCTCCTTAAATAACATTAAAAAAAATTATGGGCCTTGAAAATTTCAATCTGGTTTACACATCATATATAATATATATGATAACATATATGGTCTACATATCATATATAAATCAATTTTGATTTATATATAATAATGGCATGGTCCTAGACCTCCGTGCATTTCATGTAAGTACTGAAGCCTCCAGCAGCAGGCTATTATATCAGTATGACGTCAGACTGCTTATCAAAATACATAAAAAACTTATAAACAAAGACAATTTTAAAATTTGATATTAAAACACCAGAAATAATTTAAATTAAGTTGAAGTCTATATTTTAAAAAACTAATATCATCTAAGTAAGGGTTATTTTGAGCAAACTGAGTGTATATATAGTATTTACTAGTTATGTATAGTTCAGAATTTTAGATTTAACAAATGAAAAAATGTAATTATTTTATACTCTTATTTGATTATATTTGTCACAATTTGTCACTAACATTGTTATTACAAGTTAAAATTAGATTACTATTTATTAAAGTCTGTTAATAGATTGTGTTATTATATATTTATAAGTCATAACAGAATTTTGTAAATAATAACTTTAACTTGCTTTTTTTAAAATAAACATGTATTTAATGATTTAAGTACTTTTGCATAATGTATATAAATTACTATCAATACATAATGGCTACATATACTAATTACATCTAATTATTTCAGATTTTTACATGCCAGGACAAAATAAAGAAAAAAGTTGACATTAATTTTTTGATCAGGAAACCCAGGTTATCCTTGCCAAATGACAAGTTTTTATTACATAACAAGGGGTTGAACAAAAAACTTCCTGCATTTGAAGGAGAAACATCTAATAGAAAAAGAAAGTAATATTGTCCACTGTCTATTGATAAAAAACTTTAAAATCTTTTGCCATAATAACATTATTGCATAATAACAAACCTTATTGCTACAATCTTTCAAATGCACTTTAAAAGGATATCAGAATTTGCAAATACTAATAATCAGGTAGACTATACTATATGTTTTTTTTATTTATATATTATTTATACATTATATGCAATGTAAAATATACCAAATGTTTTAATCAGATTCATTAATCACATTTTTTTGTATAATGAAAAAGGAGCTGATCCAAAACTGTGAAAAAAAAACAAGGCAAAATAATCATATTTAGAGTTATATGTTTGTGTGTATGTTTGTATGGTATGTATGTTTGTGTTCTTTTTAAACCTCTGGTGCAGTTTTCATTAAACTATAAGGTACTAGATGTATGTTTGAGTTCTGTCTGAACCTCTAGCACGGTGTTTGCTTGCCTGTAAGTTACTATATGTATGTTTGTGCTCTGCTTAATCTTTGATGTAGTGTGAGTTACCAACTAGTGACTCCAACAATAAAAATTATGTTCACCTTAACTTCTAGAACTCTGTTAGATGAAATATGTTTTTCCTAATGTTTTTCCAAAATATCCTGTTCAATGTTTTTAGTATAGCTTACAGGATGAAACTTCTTTTAACTACTTCAGGTCAGGTTCATTATCATTACGATCACCCTGCTACTGGTATCACCTTACCCAGTACTACCTGCCCAATGCCCTGCTGCTTTGTTTGGTTTTGTTTTTTAGGCAAAGGCTAGGAAAAACAAACTCCAACTAAAATTTGCTCTACCTTGGGGCTCCTGGTTGAGTAAAGACTAGAAATGGCACCTCAATAAAAATACTTATGTTGGGCATATATTATTTGCATTCTGCTAAAATTAACTTGCCTTAAGGCTCTTGGTTGAGTAAAGGCAAGAGATGGTATCTTCATGAAAATACTCACCTTGAACAGATGTTAACTGCATCCAGCTACTGTCTTCTGGAAGACCTACTAGGCAAAGACTTTAGGAGTAAGCAAAATAGTTCGATTGACCAGCCTTACACCCCTATTACATCTATTAGGCTGGCCTAGATGTAAACATGTATTAAATCTTTTTTTGTCTAGGATGACAAATGCTGGATCATTTTGATTCTACTCAGATTTTTCCTGATGCCTCCTAGATGGTGGCTAAGCAACTCTTCTTGTTATCTCCTAATAATAGTACAGCTCTAAAACTCAGTTTAATTTCTGGTAGTAAGGTATCCTGAATTCTGTGGTAGCTCTCAGAGAGGTTGATTCTACAAACAGCTGTAAAATATCAGAGTATTAACAGTGTCACATTGCTCTTGGATGGTATCTCTGTTGGTGCACATAAACCACATAAGGAGCCCTACGTTGCAACTTTAAGCTAATTAGTAGGAGTGAGACAACTGCATAGCTCATTGTTTTAGGACACAATGCTATCTAAGAAAGATGCTATCTAAAGAAGTCAAGTTCTCCATAAATTAAACAATGCTTAAAGTAACTAATAATACTAAAATTTTAAAACCATCACCACCACCTAACTGATTCAATATATAATTTGCAAATATGTGTGGTCTTTAAAGTAACTTTTCATTAGTTGAATCTTACAGCTTGCAAAACTTACTACACTTACTTGCCTTTTGTGAGATAAATTTTAATTCGGATGACCCTACCTAAGATCATAAAAGGGTTGAATTAAGCGTCCACCATTTGCAAAATCAAAAAAAAAACATACGACTACAAAAGTAATAACACTCACTCTAGTCACTAACTGCATTATAAATGTAACAACACACTAGTCACTAACTGCATTATAAAAGTAATAACACTCTAGTCACTAACTACATTATAAAATAACAACACTTTAGCCACTAACTGCATTATAAAAGTGATAACACTTTAGTCACTAACTGCATTAAAAAAGTAATAACACTCTAGTCACTAACTGCATTATAAAAGTAATAAAACTATAATAGTGTTATTACTTTTAAAAAGAACTTATAACTTTTAAAATTCATTTTTTGTTCAGACAATATTAGTATTATTACTTTTGTAGTCGTAAGTTTATTGTTTTATTTTTTATAACTTTTTCGCTAACAAATTTAAGTTGGTTCACCCCTTGAAAACAAATACATGGTTTAGCACAAACTAAAATTTTGAAAAACAGATATTTTTCCAGATTTTGCATTTTGCAATGGCTTAATTTAACTATTGTCATAATATTGACAGGTATCCTTTGATTCTTAAAGACTCCAATAATCACATGTTTGGCTTGGGCCTATACTTACGCATAAATTCACCCATCTGTCAAGAAATCAAGTTTAAATCCTTGGACCATTCTTTTATGCACTTCTGCTTACCATAACTTCACTTTATCACCTTTTTCTTTGACCTTTATCGTTCTATTTCCAAAGAAATTTTGATTTTTGAATCTAATGGCCATACTCTTCATGCCATTCCAGTAAACAGGTTAATCCATTGCTAGACATTCACATCACTCCAGCTTCCTTTGCTAAAGCTATTTCTCAACTGAACTCTTCTACTGCCTGTAGTAAATTTTGGAAAAGGATCAATTGACAATATTAATACAAGCTAACAAAGAAACTTACCTATCGAGAATTCCAGCAATTCCTGAAGGAACTGGAAAATTCAGAAAAATACAATCAGAGATGTTTTGAAAGGTTTTGACCAATAATACACAACTACAGACAATATACATACTATTTCATTTAATACACTCAGAATCAACACTGGAAAAGAAAACAAAGCTGTGTTTTAACTGTTTGTGAAAATAGCGCTGTATTTTATATGAAGTCTTTCAGACTTCATATAAAATACAGCGCTATATTCACAAACATATTAACAAGTATGATACATTTTAATAGCTGTTGATTTTCTCAATAATTTTTAATATTTGTTATTAATTTTAAAGTTATTCCATGTACTAACTTAAAAAATATTAACATCTATTGATATTAACAAAGCTTATAAAATAATCAATTTATGAAATAGTATGCTTACCTTTTTTCCTATCTCAATGATTTCAGATTTCAAACTATAGCAACAGAAAAATTAAAAATAATCAAATCACAGAATATATGTGTAATAAATTGTCATTGATATAAAAAATAAATCATTATTGTCATTTGTGTGTGTAAAATGTTAATGATGATGACGCAAAGAAATAGCAATAGGCAAGAGATTCAATGAGTACATTAGATGAAAGTAAGGAGGGTTTAGGTTAGGGCATGTAAAATATACATATAAGGGATATCTGCAGCATTTATTGCTTTTTCCATTTTTTAATGTCCAGCATATAAATGTATTAATGTAAATAATATTAATTGTGTCATTTGGTTTAAATTGCTATTAGTTTTCTTTAAAACAATACTTTTCAATAATGACGAGCGATTATTAAATTTTATATATAAGTCAAATAATATATTTTAGCATTTTTAATTAGTTAATTTTTTTTTAAAAGAGTTATACATATGAATTTCTCAAACAAAAAGATACAGTGCTTTAAAAATTTTGTTTATTTTCAATATAAACTCAATAAAATATTGAGTATATTTTCTTTTTTAAAGCATCGTAAAAAGTTATTCATATTTGTTATAAAACTTAATTTTTTAAAAATTGATTTCTGTTCTACTTTCTTCTCAACAACTTGAAAAATAATTATTTTAGTATTTATTTTATTTAATTTTAACTTATGTTAGTTTGACAATATCCTATAAAATGCTAGATAAAGTTAATTATGAAGTCTAGTTAAGTCATATTTTAAGCCTTTTAAAAATTTTGATAAGATCTAAAAGTTAAGATACAAAAAAGTTGGTCAAAAAGCAGTAAGTGAAGCAACAAAGTGAAAAATAGTAGGTGTAAAGAATGGCTTAATGATCAGTTATAGAGAAATAGCAAGAAAAACTTAGAAATTTCAGAGAATTGCTTCATATATACTCTAAAGTCAATTAAAACAACAGGTGGCATGCAGGATCAGAAAAGTTAATGAAAAAACTACTGAATAGTCCATCATTTAATAGGAAATTAAATTATAGTGCACTTACTTACCATATTTAGCTAAAACAATTAAAAAATACTTCTTCAAATACATTTAAAAATATTTTGCTAAGGAAAAAAATGGGTGTTTATGCAGCTGTTAGCCAAACAATGCTGATGGTCAGAGATTAGTTCACAGTATTAAGGTGGTGTGAGAAGAAAATTGGGCGGTCTTTGGAGAAGTGGAAGCAAGTGACTTTTAGTGATAAAAGTAACTTTGACTTAATAAATAGAAAAAGCATAATAAAAATAAAATGAGAAAAGTATCATAATCACTTTATTATATCAAGTGGCTTGACTCATTGTAGTACAGTAAACAGACTTAAATTAAGATGGTTCATAAAAACTAGAAAAATCATCTATTTTGACATATAGACTATTGGTTGGCTTAAAATAATTATATTAAATAAGGAGTTCATAAACATCTCGAATCAAAATTTTGACTTTAGGCAGTATGTAAACATAATCCTTAACCATAACAATAGTTATTGGGTAAATATTTATTTTTTAATTTGTTCAATTTTTTAATAAACAAATTAATACTATTTCATTCAAAGAAAAAAGAAAGATAATACAAATAAACTAATTTCTTAATTTCTTAGTCTGAATATTGATTATTCAATACAATTTAGCAACTTGCAGTAGCTTAGAAAAAATCCTAAAAAAATTATGAATTAGTTTAAAAAAAATGTATTTAAAACAGTTATAATTGTGCTTTTTTTTACTCTTTTTAAAAAAGATTAATGATTCCAAACACAAACATTATTAATATAGGGGTCTCTCAAAGACATAGGGGACTTTTTTTACCATTCTACACTATTTACAATTCAGTATATTGATTATTAAAGTTCTCCCTAGTTAAATGGAAAAAAACATTTTAAACCTTAAAAAAACATTTTAAAACCACATTTAAGTGTTCACTAGTTAAGTGGAAAAAATTAAATCAAAACCATTTTTGTCTAAAACAATCTTTTCTCTATATATACTGCTTTTAGTTTTTAGCAGATTTTCTAAAAAACGTTTTTTATCATTATCTTGGAACAAAAATGATATGTCTGGTTTTACAAGCTTATTCTTAAATTGTAACTGACAAAGTTATCCAGAGTTTGTTTTTCATCATTTGTAGACAACATACATGAAAGAGAAGGTTTGAAATTGTTTAATAAAAATATCTAAACAGTACATTATAAAAAAGTAAAATTAATAAAAATGGTATCACTAGTAATATTAAATTATTACTAATACATAAAAAATTCATGTATATTCAAGGTAATCAAATTCTCATTATAAAATTTGGTTTAATGAGGTTTTTACTATTTAGTAAATAGTAAAAACTAAATAGTAAAAACTAAAAAAAAAATTAAAAAAGTATAATCTTACCTAAGAAATACATTGTAATTACTTGGAAGCTTCTAGTAGAATTTGTACAAAGATCATAGTAAATTTTACTATGATCTTTGTACAAATTCTACTAGAAGCTACCAAGTAATTACAATGCATTTCTTAGGTAAGATTATACTTTTTTTAAGGTAATTATTTTCATGATATGATTAAACATTTTTACAGATTTTGAAGAGTTATTTCTAAATAGAGACAAAACTTTCAACATTGCATTAGCTATCTAAATCATCTTGATAAAAAATCAAAACATAAATAGCTTGGCCCACATGTTAAATCTGGTTCATTCTTTTGTTAAACTATAAAACTACAGTAATGCTTTATCCACTTGTAATGAATCCTCAACCCATGCTATAAAAGTCTGAAATTTGAATTTTAAAACAATCATTTAGCTGCTAAAACAATTAGAGAATAAATCTCAGGGTGTGAGGAATAATCTCAGGGTGTGAGGAATAAATCTCAGGGTGTGAGGGTATTATAAGAAGTTTAATACTACACATGGTCACATGTTGAAAGAGGTTAAAATACTACACACAGTTCCATGTCTTAAGTCAGTACTAAAGAAAATAGTACTGACACAAGACATAACCAACAAAAACCAACTAACTCACAGAGAAACTCAAGAATTATCCTAATAAAACTTTGAAAATAAAACTTGGTACTATGAAAAATTGCAAGTTTTGCTGTTTTTTTTTCACTTGTAAACCCAAGGCTTCATCCTTTTTGCTATGGTTAGTACACACAAGTAGCAATATTTTTTAAATATATGTAAAATAAAAAATGTACTGAAAATGGTTCTTAAATATACCAAAACATATTTGTTTTTCTTTTATAAATTTTTATAAAAAAAGTACAAAAAAACAACATAATACAAACAAAACTGTTTGATTTAAATTAACTTTCGATTTATTTTTATTTCAGTATTTAGAATTCAAAATAGCATGATCTAAATCTTGATAAAACTTGGAAAATCAGTCAAGGTTTACAATGTTTTATTGTAATAGTATAATTACCAGCAAAGGTTTAGAAGTTCTTCCGACCAATATCCAAAATTAAATAAAGGTTATACATTAGAGATACCCACAAAGAGTTTTATATTAGAGCTTTCTTTCTCAATAATTTGCCTTTGCCACAATTAAAAAGCATAACCAGCCCAAGTATGGAGTCAGTTTAACATCATGGTGAAGCAAAAAAAAAGCCTAAAATTTTTTTGGATAAACAAGATTCCACCAACAAGATGTGAAACTTGACTTTTTATATGGTGTGGTAACTTACTTTTTGGATTTAATCAACTATATCCAAAGATTAAGTTGACTATATCCACTTTTAGTTTTTAAGCACAGAGCTTAAGAACTAAATATGGAACTAACTAGTAGTAAGTGACCAGGGCTCTGTCCCCAGCTAAAAATGAGACTTTTTTCAAACCCAGCCCCGACCCCGGCTCTGGAAAAATTTTAAGATTTAGAAAGAATTGAAAAAAATTTATAATACTTTATTATAATTTTATGCTTACATTTACTATTTATTAAATACTGGCATATATTTATATATTTTTAAACTCTAATTTACTTCCAACAAGATTACAAGCAATTACTTTGAAGTTATGAGTTACTTTAAAAAAAGTTATAAGGTTTTTTGATGAGCAAGGAAAAAACTGGATTAATACAAGTTTTTATAGTATGCAGGGATATATACCATAAAAGAGTGCAACATGTTGAATAAGAAGCCAAGCAAAAATGAGTTTTGGTTTTTCATAATAGAGACGATAGCTCGGTTGAGCATTGACCATGATAGTATTTGTAGAAAAAAGAAAGAAATGCAACCTTACAATAATAAACCTTTTCGAAGCTAATAATTGAGTGAAGGCTGATAATAAGATAGTTGATAGTAGGATAGTTGATAGTAGGATAGTTGATAGTAGGATAGTTGATAGTAGGATAGTTGATAGTAGGATAGTTGATAGTAGGATAGTTGATAGTAGGATAGTTGATGGTAGGATAGTTGGAGAGTTTAAAGTCTTTACTAGTGTTTGAAAAATTGGAACCACTAATTTAGCACTTTTTAAAAATTTAGCAAAAATTTAAGAGAGTTCTGGAGAACACTTTTTAAGACTATGATAGAAATCTTGTATGGAGCACAAAACTGTAGAATTGTTTAATTGAGAATTAACTTTAGCATAGGAAACCAGAGTGATTTGGATGTTTAACAATGGGTTAATCTGTTTAACTGACAGGGAGAGTATGGTCATTAGATTCAAGAGTCAAATTAGAGTGAGAATTCTTTGCAAATAACTATGCTATATTCTGGGGAGAATAGGCTTTATGCATATTATGATTATAAACATATATTATGAATATAAACATATATGTTTATTATTTATTTAAATGCTGGCATACAATATCCTTTCATATTTATAAAAACTGTAGTATTTATATGGTTTAGTATATGCCGAAAGAGAAAAAATGATCAGATGATGATCATGATGATGATGGTAATGATGATTATGATGATCATAGTGATATTTATATATGCATATATGCACAAAATATAACATTAATTTTGAATTAAAAAATATTCTTTCGGATGTATAAATATTTTATGCAGCCCTAGTCACAAACCCAGCCCCTGCCCTGATTATATTTGATCAAACCTGGCCCCGGTCAAATATCAGCCCCGGTCGCATACTACTAACTAGTCTAGCTTTTCCTACTTAAAATAATATTTCCAACCAGTCCTTAATTATTATCATTTTTTAAATATATTCAAACCCTGAAATAAACAGTTGATGTTATAAATCTTAAACATTTAGTAAAAACACATTTTACTATTAACTAAAATTGTATTTTAAAAGTAATTTTTAAAAGTTGTGGTTTAAAGGTATAGCCGACACAAAATCTTTCAACTTTTATCATAGCAACAACAATTTATATTGAGCTTTAAATTCCTTATTTAACAAAACTATGAAAAAAGAAAACTATAAACATCTTAAAACTATTATATTAAAAACTTGATACCTTACCTTCTTAGCTTGGTTAAAGTAATAGTAACTTGAGGAAATCTTTCTCTGAACCGCTCATTGATATCTTTCTTTAACTCAGAAGGCTTTGCAAACTGAATAATAGAGACCTAAATTAAAATTTAAATAAATGTACAGAAAACACTAAAAAAACAAACACTTTATATGGGTGTAATATACTTATCTGTTAAACGTGATTATTTTCTTGTTATTATTTTTAGGATTTAAGTTTAAAATCAGTTGAAATCTTTTAAAATGTTTTTCTTAATGTTTTTCTCAGGAAATCCATTAAATTAAAGAATCTTGATGATAGAATTTTTTTGCAGTCTTTAAAATGGCATTTTTTTTCCCTCTTTGTCATTGGATTTTTATCCACTTTTTGACCCATTAAGCGCAGATCAACAAATTTGAAAGTAAATGACATAAAATTATTTTAGGGAATAAAATCAGTTCTATATAACTCTATAAAATTATATAAAGATGGATTCTTTTCTTAATTTAATCTTTTCCATCAATAAATAGCAAGAAAGTATTAAGTTAATGAAAAAAAAAATTAATATTTAATTTTTTATCAAGGCCATTACATTAAATTTATCGATTTTGTGAAACATTGAATTATGTGAAAAGTTGTACATTATCAGGGGCTATTTAAGAAAAACAATTTATGAGGCAGTACCCAATGAAAAAAAACTCCTTAACTTTTAAATTTTGGCAGCGCCTAAAACTTGCCCAAATACATTGAACGCTGTCGCAAAAGGGTCTAGAGTAGCTCATGATTATATTTGAAATTTTAATTAATAAGTTCTTTTAAATAAAGTATCTTTTAAAGTTTTAAAAAACTAGATAAAAATACTAAAAATTAACAATCAGTCAACCTATAATAATATCTTAGCCAAACACCAATATACAATATACAGGTTTGCTCTTATGTTTATTTCAAAATATATTCAAGTGCATTTTAAAAAAATTAGTATTTGATATTATGCTGCAAGTGCGCAATGCTGTATAGATCTTTTTTGTAACAATAAGATATTAAAAACAATTTTATTACAAGATATACAAAATAGATTGTACTTTTATGTTTTGAATTTTTTTCATGATGTGTGATGCTAGTTTTTAATTATTCTTTAAGAAATGACAAAAAAAAAAATTAAAAACTAATATTTTAAAGAATTTCAGGATTTTTGACTCTAGCAAACCTTTTTTTTTCTTTCTGTAATTTGAATCTATAAATATAATAAAAAAACATAAAACCAACAAACCAGACATGAAGGAAGATTAAGAACAGTTCTGTGTTTTCCCAGTATTAATTCTGGATCATCAAGTTTTAGGGGATCATAGAACAATGGTGGATTTATATGATCTAAAAACACAAAAAAGAAAATAAAAAAACAAACAATGTTTAATTGACTATAAAAATGCATAGAACTATCTATTTAGCTGGATTGATAAGAAAAACACACCCACAACCATATATAGACACAAACAATCATAAAACACACAAAATGAGTCAACTTGAGCTGCACTACCTCATTACTGATATTGGTTCTAAAATACAAACTTCTTGTTTTAACTGATTATTGTTTTAATTTCTGTATGGTGTAATATTAATTTTTACTCAAAACTCACAAATAATTGTTACAACATTTTTTCACCTTATACTATTCAAGTACAATGGCTTTTTTTTTTTGAAGGAGACCTTTAAAAATGAAGTAAAGCAACTTTCAAAATAAAGTAAAGCAACTTTCTTCCTTTTCAAAATGTCTTAAATGAGCTGCTGTTTTGAAGAAGCTATAGAAAATATTTACTTACAAACCTGACATATCTTATTAGTGTTCTTCAACAATAACATTCACCAACTCAAATAGCATTAACTGGAAATGAGCTGTGGTTTTATTTGAGATAAGTGTCCAACTTATCTCAAATAAATCTACTACTCAGGCTTGGTTGGGAAGCAGGAGCGATCAGTCTCAATGGTATGACCGTGCTAATAATATTTAGTTGCAAAAAGCTGGCCAGATTTTTTAGTCAATATGAGAACATTTCAAAAAGCAAAAAAAAATGTGCAAAAGATTAATTGGACCGATAAGAGACATTAACAAAAAAAAAAATTAGGGAAATAAAATATCTTTTAACGCGAAAAAACTTAAATCAAAATAAATTACGTTTAGAACAAATATTATATTTTTGAAACATCGTTCTTTTATAATTTTTTTATAAAATTAGGCGACATTTTTTATATCAAGTAACATCTTAAGATGTTACTTGATATAAAAAAAAAAAATGTTCTTTATTTATCAAAGTTTGCAAGTTTTATCTAAGCTTAATTATTTTATAAATAAAAAATTTAATTTTTTTAATACCCATTTTATGTGTCTTGTAGTTTGAAAAGTTCAACATATTTGAAACAATTATTCTTAGTTAGATAAACAAATGAAATAATTCAATCTTTGAATTACTATAGAAATTAACTTGATAGAAATCAAATAAAAAGGTTAAAAATACTTTATGACAAGGAAGCGAAACTGCTTCACAATATCACTGATCATGTTTAGTGAGTAAGCTTTTTAATTTTAATTAGTATTTAAAGCAGAAAAAAGTATAACGAGTTTTTAAGAATGGCAACTTAAGCAAAAATAATTAGATTTAGTAAACCAATATCTAGAAATTTTTCTTTATATCTAATAACTTCCTATATATATTTGTGTTCTGTCGTGATCTCAGGCGCGGTACTTGTCCATCCACAAGTTACTTTGTATGCATTATTTGTGTTTAGTAACCAGAAACTTCTTATATGTTTGTTATATAATTAGTTTTATGAATTTTAATGATTATTTATAACTTCATTGAAAACGCAATTATTTTTGTAAGTCTTTGTTTACAAATTAAATCAATAAAAAACAGATACACAAAATTACATTTACATAAAAAATACATTCTTTTTAAATAAAAAATAAGTATATACCAATAAAATCTATAATTTATAATAAAGTTTCAAAATTTTGACAATCAAAAAAACATTTATTTTTGTAAACAAATAATAATAGTTTATAAGATTTACGGCTTTGAAGATGTGGCTCCGAGAATGAGCCATAGAATTGATAATATATTCTTAAAACAATTTATGTTAGAAATCTCAAAAGGTAACAAATTGTGAATAATACAATTTTTAAAACATTTCCACAGAATACTCTAGAACTTTATTTTTTGCTTAGTCAGCGTTTTTTTTAAACCAATAGAATTAGTTTGTTCGTTAATTTGGCGAGTTATTAGAGTTCGCGAATATTCTTTTTATTCTTCCCCACCAAGATGTTTTGAGAACATTCAAGTTTTTGATGTTTCCATGTAAGTCCGTAAAACAAAAATTTTTTGTTTCGTACATAAACTTTAAATGTTCTCAAAACAACCAAAAACCTGGCCAGTTTTTCGCAACTAATAATAATTTCCATGGTCAGTATTCGAGAGCGATCGCTCCCGGTTCCCGACAAGCCTGCAACTCACTTCCTGTAACAATATCAGGTAGTCTCCATAAATTTTCTTTTTGACTTTATTATTTAACTTGTGTTCAACGTGATGCTCATTTTCTTTTATAAAGAGCATTGTTAATAATAAGTTTTAAAATGATTAAATGTCAGGGCTTCAATTGTATCATGTATTGCATGTGGGTTTTCTTCAATAGCAAAGAGCATTTGCCTAATATTTTCAGCTATATTCACCTTTTTATTAGCTTTTCTTACATTTTTTATATCTCACTTAATTTAATGATTACTAGATGGGATGATATTTTATCTCCATTCAAGCATTCAAACTAAATATTTTCACTATAACTTGATGTAGAGTTTAAAGGGATCCCCAAGTGCAGAGACAAATTGTGTTTATATTAAAGAAAATGTTAAAAAAAAACGTTTGGGCTTGATATTTTTTTAAAACTGAATAATAAATGCATATCAATAAAACTAAGATAGTTGATTTAGTTGAAGTTTGTCTTCTTAGTTTTTTTTTGGTTCTTAGAGTTTTTATAATATACGCCACAATCTGCAGACTTGATAATTTATTTCATGCAAATTCAATTCATAACAGTTTCAGTACATGACGCCATTGTGAAATTTTTTAAGATTTGGTATTTTTTCAAATCATGTTTCTTAGTATAATTCTTTACTAAATCCAAAACATTACGGCATTATAACATTAATGCATTATAACAATTGCACTACACCTAATTAATGTATTTAAACTTATTTATGATCAACAAATAATGCATCTTAAAAAAATAAAGCAAATATATAAATTTATATATTTTTATAAAATATCTTTTATAAAAATTTTTACTTTATTTTTTCTATACATACCATTTAATTTTAAATACTATTATATTTTAATTCATCAAAACTTGTTTGTCAATTTTATAAAGGTAATTCATTAGTATTAGTCAATATCGATAAATGACATTTATTTAACATTTTATAAGAGAAGATTAAATTTGCTTATTTAACTTCCATCAACTCAATCCTCCATCATCAGCTGTTTCTCACCTTTTAATATATATTAGTCAAACAAATTCTTGTAACTCCTTCACCTATAGATAGATAATTTTCAGTTTAGGAAACTTATTTTACCTCCTTATCTTTTGTTTTACTTGCCTTTTTAAAAGTTATTTTATGCTTTATTTACAAAGGAATCAAGTTCACTCAAACTCTTATAATATAAAATATGAATAAAGGTTGCATCTCTTTTGTTTTCTACAAATACTACCATGGTTGATGCTCAAACAAACTATCATCATTTGTTCCATCAATCAAAACACAATCTTGCATGGCTCATTCAGCAAAATTGCAACCTTTGACTGTAAGTTTCTCACATCATTGTTTTTTTGGTAATTAATTTACAGTACTTTAACTTTTCTGTCAACAGCTTACTTGCTTTTCATTCCTTTCTGTTAAACCCTAATTTTAAAAATGGTTGCTTGTATTTGTTGCAATTCGCTGGTGAATTTATTTAAAATAACAATAATAATAAAAAACTGCAATATCACTTAATAATGTGTAGAAATAGATGGAACATAAAAGCTGGGGAACAGTTGTTTTACGTAGATAGTAAGCGACCGGGGTTGATATTTGACCAGGGCCGGGGCTAGGTTTGATAAAACATAGCCGGGGCTGGGTTTGTGACTGGGGCTGCATTAATATTGATATTCCTTATAAATATATTATTGTTATTTAAAATTCATGATATATTTTATATAAAGGTATATATATCATCTCATCGTTATCGTCATTATCATCATCATCATCATCATCATCATCATCATCATCATCATCATCATCATCATTATCATCATCATCATCATCATCATCATCATCATCATCATCATCATCATCATCATCATCATCATCATCATCAAGCATACAGTTGATGATGATGATTAAGATGATTCTGATGATGATAATGAAAATAATCATCATCATCTTAATCATTGGCATCATTATCACCTTCTCTGATACACACTATAAATATAATTACTACTCTCATACTATCTCTAAGATCATTGCTTTTTTTCCTATCTTTTAAAGACACCATATATCCATCTGATCTACTTTGTTTTTTCCAGATGAAAGAACAAACAAACCAGCAACCTGGATATTCTAGAAAAGTCAGTGGCCATCATGTAATAAATTGATTATTTTAAATTTTTAAACAAAGTTAATAACTTGAAGAAATATTTAAAAATTGCTAACAATCAGGGTGTCTAAAATATCCTAAAATAAATTTCATAAGATAAATTTATTGTAAAATTGCATTTACATTTAAAATGTAAGTAACTTGTTAATTGTAATTTTAATTATTAGAATTACATAGTTGAGCTATTCAAGTATTTAAATGTAAAGTAATTGAAAATAGTTGAATTTATTTTTGTTAGCCCCGGCTAGTAACACCTGTAAATTAAGTTTGTTTAGCCGGAGCCGGGGCCGGGTTTGCAAAAACCTCTGTTTTTAGCCGGGGCCGGTTATCAGTTAACAAATGTATAGTGGTGCTTTTGTTAATGTATTGCTTAACTAAACATATGACCTTGGAACAAAACCAAAAAAATTAACTTCAATTAATTCAATATCTACTATGTAGAGTATCTACAATTTAGAATATCCTAAATCAATGCAGGATAAAAACTACAACCATACCACTGACTCCAGTACAATTCCTTTTAAAAAAATAAAAGTATGTGCTCATGATAGGAATGGCGTGCAATCGAACGCTACTGCTGACCATGCAGATGATTTTTTTTTTTTACATATTGACCATGACTGTTTAGATATTTTGATGATTTAAACGCTTCAGAAATGCGCTGAAAAAAGAAACGTTAACCTAAACTTAAACTAGGAAAAACATTGAAAAAACTTAAGAATAAGCAAAATAATTCCTTACGGATAAGTAAAAAAATTAGCTATAAAATAAAACTAAAAAAACTCGAAGTTAAAATTACTTTTTGTTACGTTTTTAATTGCATTTGAAAAAAATTACTTTAAAACTGATCTAATTACATGGAAAAATAGTTTCAAACGTTTAAATTTATTATAAAAAATATGACCCAAAAAAAAAATTTTATTATTACATTTACTTTACACATGATGCGTCTATTTTAAATGATCATTATAATTAGTTTTTGAGTTAATTTTGATTAAAATTCTTTGTGTTAAATAAAAACTTTAACAAAGATCAATGATTACAAGTTATATGTAATGTAATGATTTTTTAATTGTATATAAATTGTTAAAACATCAAAACAACCGTTGTTAAATAAAGAAAAAAAAATGTTGTCAGTTACAGTTTAATTTTCAAAACTTTGATTTTTTATATTTGTACCAGGTCATCTTACAGGTTATATCAAAATTGGTTTTGAACATGTTATAATCAAAATCTAACAAGTTTAACACGCAACAGATTAATACAATTTGATCGTCTTTTCTCTTTTATTGTCTTTTGCCGTTGCTTTTTAAAAATTTTAACAAACAATCTAAATAATGTAATACCATGTAAATAACCATATTCTGAAAACATCTCAGGAGGAATTCCTTTTAATCTCCAGCCTTCTGGCACTAGCAAATGACTGAAAGAAACCTTTAAAATAATTTCACAAATTTAAACATTTTTTTTTTTTAATTTGTTCTCATTTAAATTTAAGTAAAGAATAAAAATAAACTTACAGGATTACCATTCAAACTTAAAAATAAACTTACAGGATTTCCATTCAAACTTAAAAATAAACTTACAGGATTTCCATTCAAACTTAAAAATAAACTTACAGGATTTCCATTCAAACTTAAAAAATAAACTTACAGGATTTCCATTCAAACTTAAATCATCGATTAAAGTTACAGTAGAAGTAGTAGTTAAACGCTTTTCACTAAAAAAAACCCATTAAAAAGTAAAAAAACAATTTTAAAATTAAATTATACTTTAAAAGATTTATAATCACCACAATTTGTTTCTAATGATTAACACAAAAAGAATTTGTTTCTTCATTAACACAAAAAGAAAAAAACATACACTAGGGGTGGCAATGTTTCTGAATCTGCCTTTGAGGTATTATAGTATGAAACATAGACAGGTCTGTCAAATTAACGAAAAAAAATTTATTGCTGACAGAATTCTTTTGTTTAATAAAAAAATATTATTTTAATAATTTATTTATCTACTTTTTGCAAGTTGTTAATTTTACACGTTAGTCATTAATTTGTTTTGAAACAAACAATTGACCAAATGAGGTAAATAAAAACAAGGGAAAATGTCTTTGTACAATTTTAATTATCTTTGTTTTAAAGGTGATTATTTTTAAAAAAATATTTAGAATAGACACCAAATACCTACTATCAAAGTCTGTATATATATATATATATATATATATATATATATATATATATATATATATATATATATATATATATATATATATATATATATATATATATATATATATATATATATATATATATATATATAAATCAATTAATCAATCAATTATATATTCTGGAAAAAAGATCTAACTTCCACTGTCGTTACAAATAGTTATAAAAACTAATATAAAGTAAAAACCTCTTTGATGATATAAAACATATTATAGACACATAGTTATAGTTATAATAAAAATAGCAATAAATTTACAAAACAACAATAATAAAAACAATTAATTGTATAATAATAAGAATACCAATAATAATATTACCAGTAAGTATAATTAACACCCAATAATAATGAATAAAATAAAAACATGATAATAATAAATACAATACATATATAACGGAATTGTCAAATAAATATTTAATAGAAGGCTGTTCATTCAATACGTCAACAAAAATTATAAAAACCAATAACTAAAAGTATTCAATCAATACAATAATACAATCTTCCATACAACAATCAATTATATATACAAAGTTACAGTTACAAACAGTAATAAACTGACAAAACGTAACTAATAACGATGACATAAAAACGATTATCGATAAAAGCATACCAAGATTCGATAAATATAATAATTTTAGTTTTTATAATATAATAGCAAAAATATATTGTAAGTATAATAAACAAATAAAGAAAATATAAACAGAAAAACACTTATTATACATAAAACTAAGGTTATTAAGTAAAAAATGCATTAAATGCATACACAAAATAAATGACATATAAATATAACAATAAAAATACACATCAATATAAACAACGTATTCACTAAACAAAATTTATAATTTTTTTCTTGTTCTTTTCTTTTAATGACATTATTGTTTCTGGTAGACTAACGTAATTCATTTCGTATTTTTTTTTTTTTTTTTTTCTTTACATTTTTGAACTACTTTTTCTTTTACCGAGTCTTTTTTTTTCTATTTGGTACGTTATTTTGACTTGCTTTTTATCTTTATTTGTTTGTATCTTTTGATCTTATTTTTACTTCATTTTGTTTTATAATTTGATATTTTTTAAAATGGTATTTTGATTTTTTTTTTCTCCATTTGATTTCTTTCCTTTTTTACCGTTAAATAAAAGCATCCTCCGTTTGCGATGTCATTGCAAAGATCTTTATATATATATATATATAAAAATAAATAAACTCGAAAGATTTCAGGTCGGCACAAGCATGCCAACCTAGCCGACGTCAGGTCGGCAAAAAAAAAAATTGATTTTATGCTTTCTGTTATAATAGGGGTAATGATTAATTGATTATAAAAGGATTGCTTTATAATAGCATAGCTTCAGACAATAATATTTTAAAGAATGTAACAATTAAATTTTGTTGGTAAATTAAGTGTATAGCAAATTTATGAATTAGTGATTTTTTAGTTTTGAAGTTGTTGTTTTTTTATTAAAAAAATGGTCATAGTTTATTTATTTCATTATAATTGGTTTTTTAGATTGCTCATAGAAAGAACGTTGTTTAGAAATACAAATTTAGTTTATGTGCTGAAGGCAAAGATTTTGTTTAAAACAGCAAATTGTTTACAAAATGAGTAGACAGTTAACATCCGGTTGTTTATCTCTACAATAAATAAGCATTTAATTCTCACGTAGTAGGAGTGGTGTTTTTTAACATTTAATTGTGTATAGTATGAACTTGTAACTATATGTAAATTGATGGAGGGAAAACAAAAGTTAAAAATACTAAAATTAGTTTTTTTTTCTTATATATAAACATTGTTTCTGCGCAGTGGCAATTGTCTTATTAACGTATTTTAATAATTTACTCATTATCAGATTTTTCTGTCCAATCATCATTAAGTTATTTTTTTTTATAACTGATGTTCCCCATACAAACATTTCTGTTGCTAATTTAGCACAGCCTTTATTTTGATTATAAAATTTTTTTAAAAACTCTGAATACTCTTGCCAAATTTTACACCATATTAAAATTACTTTACCTGAATCATTAGTTTGAAATCCACAGGATTTAAACCTCCATTTTTTAGTGACAGTTCTGTTTAGCATTATGTCTTGTTTTAAGCTTGCTTACTGTATTACTGTTGCATCTGTTGCATTTTAATGGAAGCTTTGACTTCTATTAAATTTAAAAAAAGGTTATATAACTGTTTCTTCTCCGCAAGTGTTTAACATCAGGGTTAGAGTTAAACTTTCCTAATAGACTTTGCTGATTTTAAATAATATTTAAAAAACCGTAAACATGTAAATTATATTTTATAACTTAATAAAATAACAATTGCGCTTAAAAAAGCATGAGAACAACAGGCATTTAAAAACTAATATTTTTAACCTTGCTATGCTTGAATAAATTTGAGAAAAAAAGATTAAAAAGAATTGAAAAAAAATGAACAAATTTTTGTTTTAATAAAATATTTCAAACTTGAAAAGCAAATAATTAAAATAAAAAAAATTATGAAATAAAATTTTTATATTAATATTATTTTATAATTTTTTATTTAAAGTATTTCAATTTGCATGCCGACACTTTAGGATATTCAAGTCGGCAGCTTTTGGATCAGCATTGAAGAATGCCGACCTGATCCGCGCAGCAGCCTTGTTCGTCGTGTGTTTATATATATATATATATATATATATATATATATATATATATATATATATATATATATATATATATATATATATATATAAACACACACACATATACACAAAAAGTACTGTGCAATTAGCTAACCAATCAAAAGTCAAATACCAGAGTATTAACAGTACCATGTTATGAGTTGTATCTTGTTTTCCAATAATAAATCTGTGTGCAATAATATGGCAAGAAATAAGTCCTTTGTTAAGAATTTGAGTAAAATTTACAAGTGTAAAATTTATAGGTTAGAGAGTCATGATCTATTTATGACAGAATTAAGTTCTCTCAAACTTTTGTAAAATAAAACATAAATAAAGTACCTAAATTCGAATTTTTAAAATCTATCCTTTACAAATATTTGCGGTCTTCAAATTAACATTTAGATGTAATATATATCTAAATGGATATTGTTTATATTTGTAAAACTTCAACAGTGCTTTATTTTGTATATTAGAAAAATCAAAAAAAAAAATTCTAGTACACAGTGGGCAAGAATATTTTTTTACTGGATTAAAATCATAACTAATTTAACATTAGGGCTATATTCACTAAAATTAGCATGAGTACTAATATGATGAATGCACTTTTTATGAAGGTAATATTTTTTTATTTTATTGCTATGGATACCTTTATTTTGCTTAGCAACAACCTATTTTTGGTATTTGCAAATATTTCATGAGTTCTATATTGACTAAATTTGGCATTAGTATAAATGAGATCACGCTTTTTATAAAAGTTATAATTTAACTTTATTTAGTTGCTATGAATACTTATATTGCTTAGTTACCAGATACTTTTCTTAGTTACAAAGGGGTAAATTGATTTTTCAAGATATTTTATCTGATTTTCGCCCCACCTATATAGAATAACAATAAAGTATTTAGGTAAATAATGTTTTAGTAATAATAAAAACTAAAAATAGTACAAGAAAACATAGATAATTTTAAATTATCTATGTTTCTATGTTAAATCTCTTACATCAAAAACATAAAAATAATAATATCGTTTTAAGATTGTTTAAGTTGATTGTTTTATGATTTGTTTGGTGTGATGTTGATTTATGCAGCGATGAAATAACAGGATCACTGGAAACTAGGAGTCTATAGATCAGATCAGTATTTGTTGCTCTTCTGGATGTTTTTTGGCTGGAATTTTCTAGATAAGACTTGAAGTCTTTATTTCTAGCCTCTTGAGCTTCCTCTAACATGGGTAATGTAAGGCTTTTAATTATGCCTTATCCATGTATGTGCACTTTATGCACAGATTGAGCCATGTCACACTATGGATAAAAGGACACTTTAGCCTAACAGTGTCAAAACAAAAATCCTTGAATTTTAAGCTGTCTAGATACACCATATTATCTTGGTAACTCTATATTCAGGATATTTCATATCCTGAATATAGAGTTACCAAGATAATGTAAAATCTGAATATTAGGTTTTGATCAATACCCAGAATTTCAGCTGTTTAATTATATGCTGCAAAAGCACGCCTTAAAGTTTTGCCATCGTTGCTTGTTCCAGAACCACCACTTTTAGGGAAATCAACAACAAATCTAATTTTGTTCATAAAATCAGTCTGAATCTTTTGCTTAGCTACAGATGCTTTTTCTTCGTGCTCTTCAGATCTTGCTTGTCACTTTTTTGTTTCTTTTTTAAATACAATGTGCAAAATCATCTCCAAAAAAAAATGAATCCATGCATGAAGACTGGAAAGACCATATTTGAACTCTCTGTTAGTATAATCTATGTTAAAGATATCAAGACTATTCATATTTTTTGGAAAGATATCACACACTGAACAACATTGGTATGAGTTTTTCCAGATGATACCATTTG